TGGTTTGACGGTCGTGCGCGTAGACGCGTACGATTCTCCCTAGCTCCCTCATCACCCTTTCGACAGGATTGGATTGAGGGTTGTATGGTGACGTCTTCCTTATGGAAAACCCCATTTCTGTGGCAAATTCCTGCTATCTCGATGTGATAAATTGTCCACCGTTATCGGACAAGATCTCTTTCGGAATACCGATTTTACTGGAATGCTCTATTTTTGCAGAGTATCTATTATTGACTTTAATTTTTGATTCCTCATCGGATATAATTTTGTAAATTTGGAAAATTGGTCCATCGTGACTAAGATGTATTTGTTTCCGCGAGGCGTTTATGGCAAAGGCCCAAATAAGTCAATGGAGATTGTTTCTCCCGGTTGTTTCGGTAAATCGTAACATTCCATTCCACGAGTCGGTCTCGTGAAGTATTTTGTTGTTTGGCAGACGCTACAAGATGCTACTACATCCCTAACGACTCGCTCTAAATTTTTTACGATGAAATACCTTTCCATGAACTCAGCGACTTTATCCGTTCCGAAATGTAAGAGATAAACGTGTACCCTGTTTGTGAGTTCCCATTTAACGGACTCGGGTACCATGATTCTCTCCCCCTTCGGTATTTCAACACGAATCAGTGCTTCCCTTACAAAGAATTCATCTGGTATTTCCGCGACTAATCTTTGTAAAATATCGTCGTCGCGTTGCGCCCTAACGAGTAAATCTACCCACGACGCCGTTTCGGTTTCGTCATCCGGCTGTTTTATCGCCGCGATGCGTTTAATCTTTCCTTCTTTTTTAACGTAACCGTTTTTGACGTTGTTACGAGATAACGTGTCCGCGATTTTATTTTGTACTCCCGGTACATGGCAAATTTCTAACTCGAATTCATTCAAGAACGCCATCCATCTCGCGATCCTGGCGCTATCGTCCGCGCACGCGGTTAAAAATTTCAACGCTCGGTGATTCGTGTGGATTTTGATTTGACGCTCTAAAAAAGTGGTGTGCCATTTTCGCAGCGCCCATACTAGAGCTAGACACTCGATTTCGGTTACGGTGTAATTTAGTTCCGCCCCTTTTAGACTACGGCTCGCGTATGCCACCGTATATTCATTCTCGGGTTCATTTCTCTCGTACTGGTATAAACGCGCCCCTAAACCGTATTTAGACGCGTCAACGCTTAATCCGAACTTAAGTCCCGGTTTAATATTAAATAAACACGGTGCTTGGTTAAACGCTTGTTTTATTTCGTCGAACGAACGCTGTAGTTCCTCGGTCCATTCGAATTTTACTTCCTTTTTAAGAAGATTCTCTAGCGGTTTATTCATCCTTGCTAAATCTTTAATAAATCTGCGATCCCAATTTACTAAACCGAGAAAAGCCTGTATCGCTTTTTTGTTACGCGGTTTCTCGAAATTGTTAATTGCGAGTTTAGTATCTTCATTCATTTCGGCTTTAATTTGATCAAACGTGTGACCAAGAAAACGGATTTCCGTTTTAAGAAATTCATACTTGTCTTTGTTTAATCTAAAACCGACTCTTTCAAGCTTTCCTAGAACATAGCTTATGTGAAAAAGATGTTCCTATAAGCTGTTCGACGCAATGAGTATGTCGTCGAGATAAATTATTGTAAAGTCATTCGAGATAAATTATTGTAAAGTTCACATTCCTCCCCTATCGCCTTTTGCATCGCTCGCGTAAACGACGCACCCGCGGTTTTCAGTCCGAAAGGCAATCTACGGAAAACATACGTTTGGTTGTCGAATTTGAACCCCGTATATTCCGTACTGTCATCTGTTAACGGGATTTGCCAAAATGCCATGGCCACGTCCAACGTCGAATAGAATTTTTTGTCCCCTATCTTACGGAAGACTTCGTCGATCGTCGGAGGTTGGTCATGGTCGTTCGTCATTCTTTTATTAATCTCCCGCGCGTCTAAGCACAGTCTAATCTGTCCCGACTTTTTAACAACGACAACTAACGGGTTAATATATTGCGTACAAGCGCGTTGTACTATCCTGTCTCTCTCTAGCGAGAGTATATGGTCTTTGACCCTAGCACGGTGTATTTCCGGTACTGGATAAGTTTTAAATTTAAACGGTTTATTCGTATTAACCGTTATTTTATGCGTGTAATGTTTCACGCAACCAATTTCGTTTTTGAAAAGCTCGCCATGCTTTAGTAAAATTTTATTCAATTGCTTTTCCGCATCTTGAATAGAAATCGCGTTGAGCGTTATTTTTTTACTCGAACTGCATTCGGGAAAATCTATTATTAATTTCCTACCGCAATTTAAAATAGCGGTACGCTCGGCTAGGAAATCCATACCGAGTATCATCTCGTACGATAAGTTTCTAACGATATAAAACTCGTGCGTAAACTCCCTCTCATTTATAATAAAGCTTGTTTGTATTCGGTTCGCTATTAGCTGCGCATGATCCGAGAAAGCTCCTACCAACGATAATTTTTTTATTGGAATTAATCGCATCGACGTGTTTTTATTCGCTAATTTATCGTATACGTCTTTTGTAATTAACGAGATCTGTGATCCCGTATCAATTAACGCTTTAATCGCTAATCGATTAATTAACACGCTAACGTACGGAGTGCCCTGCTTGATTATCGCGTTCTGGTCTTCCTCCGTAACTTCGTCGACATCGCGTAATATTTGTTTTGTCCTTATTATCACGATTTTATTATCATCGTCGGTTACCGGTTTTTCTTCTTCGTCGTCGTTATTTTTAACCGACGCTATATTTTTACGCGGCGCGTTATCTTCTTTAACTAGTAAAGACTTGTCGAACGCTCGCTTTGCCCCGTCACTATCATACGGATTGAATTTTCTTTTGTTTAATACCGCTTCGTTATTCGGTAATTCGTTTATAATCACGGTGTCTTTCTTTTGTCCCGCGTTATAATTCCGTTGTATATTTTCCGGTATCGCTTCACCGGTACGAACCTGTTGGCTGTTGCGTCATCGCGTTCGTCGTACGATACGTCATGCGTCCTTGTCTGCCGCCTCGCGCTATCGCGATCGTTATCTGATACGTCTGCGTCGCGCGTCTTTGTCAGGCGGCTCGCGCTCGACCTCGCGCCACCGCGATCGTAATCTGATACGTATCGGTATCTCGACTGCATATTCGACGTTCTACCAACGGTTTCTCGCTGCGTATTACTTCTAACGGAAAAATTTTGTCTTTTCTCGCTATTATTAATAGAATACGTCTTTCTTTCTCGTTTTTTCTCGTACTCGATCTCGTCGAGCAACGTAACGAATTCCTTGACTGTTTTAACCGTCGATGGCCTTATCTCACGCGCTATATTTGGACCAAAATGTCTCTTAACACACCTGATTATTTCATGCTCGCGCATGGGTGGTTCTAAATATTTGGCTTGTTTTGCCAAATTCAGCGCGTATTCGCTCATCGACATATTACCGTCGTATCTATAAAATCCCGCATATATTTCTTCGCGGAATCGCGCTTGCTGTTCTTCGCCCAAGAAATGCTCTTTGAACGCGTAAATCGCTTCGTTTATATTTTCCGGATCCCTGAGATCGAACCAATTTGATGCCGGGCCTCTTAGGCAACAACCGAAATAATATAATTGCTCTGCGTATCCTACTTCTTCGTACGCGGCAATTCTTTCAAACTTCTTTATGAAATTGACCGGGTTTTGCGGATCGTTCCTTCCCATATATTTTATTTCTTTGAATGGATTTTTAAGACAACCACCCTTTCGTTTTATTAGAAATACATGCAAAGAAACTATCTTCCCACACTTTATCATAATGTTGTACGTACATCTGTTCACCAGTCATTCTCCACGTTTAATGAAATTAAATGCGGAAAAAATCAAAATTGCACAAGAAACACTCTCTCTGATAAGAAAAAGACACTTTAACGCTCGTTTCACGAGAAACTGACTGCGCGGCGCGTACCGACAGTATCTACAGTTTGACCGTTAAAAACAAGAAAGTATCAAAATCGGCGCACGCTACTATCAATGCGCAAGTGTTTTGATACTCTCTTGTTTTTAACGGTCAAACTGTAGATATTGTCGGTACGCGCCGCGCAGTTAGTTTCTTGTGAAACAAGCGTATAAAGTGTCTTTTTCTTATCAGAGAGAGTGTTTCTTGTGAGTAGGTGAGATAGGCCGCCTCTAACTCACTTTGACAATGAGAGCGAGAGAGATGGATAGAGAGATAGAAAAGGATAGAGATATGAGTTAGAACAGTTTGTAGACGACCGAGAGGGGAAGCGCGGACAGGGGGGAAGAGGAGGGAGGGTACGTAGGGCGAGAGGGGAAGCGGAGCGAGGGGGGTCGGGGGAGCGCGTGATGTCACGGGAGGGAGCGGGTATGAATCGCTAGATTGCCCGTGAGATGGCGCTCGGCTCGATCGGGGGTCGCGCTACCGACTCGCCCTACGTACCCCCCTCCTCTCCCCCCTGTCCTCGCGTCCCCCTCAGCCGTCAACAAACTGTTCTAACTCATATCTCCATCCTTTTCTATCTCTCTATCCATCTCTCTCGCTCTCATAAAAGTGAGTTAGCGCCGGCCTATCTAGACGCCCAACAAAATCAACGAGATCGCCCGGGAGATGACGCTCGACTCGATTGAGGTCGCGATTTCTCCCGGCGCGATTTGACCTTGGCGCGACTTGACCTTGACGCGACTCGTTCCTTAAGGAGGTGACGGCGATCTCTCGCGCTGCTTTTAGCGCGTGATCCGTTATCGCGATTCTTAAGTTCCGCGAGCGGACGCTGATATATGGCGCCGAGGGAGATGGATAGAGGAAAAGTTAGCGTAGCGTCTTCCTAAGATTCTGAGCGGCCGCACAATCGAAACATCCGCGTCACATCTAGGCGTTCGGTCGCGATCTCGTCTGAAAAAGGGATGCCGGTGATAAGAGAAACGACGCTAGCGGATTATTAGTTCGAATAAACATTTAATAGTCTTACCCATTGTCCTGTTTAGCTCTTTTAGCGTATCCTGCGCTATCCTCGCGGTCTCACTCAGTTAGCCTCGATCGATTGTCAAATGAGTGCTGCTGTTGCGGTGGCCAACCCATTGTCGTGTACATTATCGCTCGTTTAAAGGCGTAAAATTGACGTTTGGCGAAAAAATATAGATTGCCGTCGATATATCGAAAGGCTGACGTTATCGCGGTTGGTATTCCGGAAAATATATCTTTTAATGGAGCGTGTCTAATGACTATCATGCGGCACTCGTCAATCTCCGCTACCTTGTCGTCGTCGTAGATCGCATAGGTTCGTTTCGTGTGCGTGTTTATCGCAGCGTTAATCTTAACATTTCGAGGAAGTCCGATATCGTGGAGATATCTCGGCCAACCCGATTTTAGCTTAAGGCTAGGATATTCCGCGAGGTAGATCGAATCGTCCGCGAATAGCGCGAGATCGCCCGAGGGTCTTCGATACGCGGCGGATAGGCGCGTGAAATTCGCTGGGAGAAACGCCGCGTAATCCGTGAGCGTCATGGGCCTACCGTAGCGTCTCTCGATCACGTCGATCGACCACACATTGCGGCGATTAGCTATATACAATCGGTGTTTCATTATCAGCGTGACGTCCACGCGCCGCAAAGCGCAGAGATCAGCGCGCGCGGGGTCGATTGGCGCGACGCTCGTCGTAGCGGGCGCCACGGTAGTCGCGGGAGTCGCCGTTGGATAGTTTCCGTCGTCGTGAGACCCGTACAGATTCTGTATAGCCAGAATATCCTCTATGCTCAACTTAACCGGAAATTGATTCTCGATATCGGGTATATACGGAAACATTATCGAGTCGTTGCGCATGCTGTGTTGTAGACCCAAAGCGTGGCCAATCTCATGCGTCAGCGTTAGCAACAAATGATGTGTGTTGGGAGGATTTTTATTTAGATACACGTGCCACGGTTCCGAATCGTCAACGTGTACCTCCGACACGAAGTCGGTCGCTCCCGAAAGAAAGAACGCGTGAGCTAGAGCTCCCTCGGGACCGTCGAAGGTCGC